ACCATTCTTCAATCAACGGAAAATTCGGACTGCAGCCATTCAAACATGTTTCGTATAATGACAACATCTGTTCTTGAGTCTTCAATTGCTAATTCAATTTGAGTGGCAGTCTCTTCGTCTGATTCGTCTGCCATATTATGTTCACTAGCAGGAATATTGCAATGGACGACCTTATGTTTTTTCATTGCCGCCTGTGATGGGAAATATTTACTGCAGAAACATTCTCTTGGAAATTCTCCCAGTCACCGATGGACAATAGAGATCAAAAGGCATGCTACTGTAACTGTGATCGGGCAGTAAATTTATGCAGAACTGCTGCACTCAATAAAACACTACAATGTGGACATCCACTTTGTCCTAAACCCCCTCCCACCTTTGGCCACTTTAGTCCACTTTTTTGCTGAACCCCCCTCCCCCTTTTTGTGTAGACGTCTTTTATGGATGACCCCCAAGCTAAATTGTGATTGGCTCTTTTTCACAAATTTTGTTTAAAACAACTACATACTGCCATTGGCTGGTAACTTAGTGGGGTTGAAAGTGAATGCTAATGCAACTTAGCAGGTTTTGCAAGTCTATCGTATTTTTGGCTGCATCTATAGGTACCCGGCTACCTATAATCGCCAAAGTATATTCGCACCCGGAGTGGCTCCGTACAGATTAAATAGCTTCGGAGCCGGGTGTGATACCAATAATAGTATGAGAATTATTTTTTAAAAATTGTTTTTTCTCCTTGTTATTTCATAGATTCATAATTTTATTCTTTTAGTTTTTTTTTTAAATTTTTGCTTTAGTAATTTCTCTTAGGACCGGTAGATTTTTTTTCTTTCTTATTTTCTTTTTTAGTTTAAGCCATTTTCGTAGATCATTTTTTTTTAAAATCTAGTAATGAAGACAAGATGATGATTTAGATACATTAATTGTTTTCATTTGAATTTTAGAAAAGTAATAATATTAATTTAATTATCAAAATTAAATCCTTTATTTAAGATTATTTATGTGTATTGTTTAAGTTAAAAGATTTAATCACACAGTACTTTATGAATTAATAAGGTATTCTAAATAAGAAAAATTTCATTCATAATGAATTAATTTCAAATATTCCTCCAGAGAGCTTGGCTTAATCAGAACAGAACCACCAATTTTAAACTTTTTCCTTGGCACAAAAATCTGCCCAAGAAATATAATAAAAATGGTTATTTACACAATTTTGTAAAAATAATTTTCAGCACATTAAAAACATTTACATATTTATAAAAGTAGTTGAAATCTTTCGGAACCAATCATTGCGAATTTGCAGTGAAAATAAATTTACAAGAACAAGTCAAGAATGACGATTATCTCAGCAAGGCCTTTTCAAACCCAGTTGTTGGGTTCAGCTGTCTATGTTCTATATACCGGTATTCACTTTTCTGCGTGTTAACTTGTCCGTTGGTTCACTAGTCCTGTGTTTGGATGTGTTATGGTGAGTTGTGGGTTTACTTGTCCTGCGTTCATTTGCGCGGCCACCGCAGCGGACACAAACCATAAAGTTTATGCAGCATTAACGATCAGAAATCTGCTTAAAGTAAACCTATACACGGGTAAGCCGCGGCGACTGCGTTGCTGCCCACAAATCATTGCGAATTTGCAGTGAAAATAAATTTACAAGAACAAGTCAAGAATGACGATTATCTCAGCAAGGCCTTTTCAAACCCAGTTGTTGGGTTCAGCTGTCTATGTTCTATATACCGGTATTCACTTTTCTGCGTGTTAACTTGTCCGTTGGTTCACTAGTCCTGTGTTTGGATGTGTTATGGTGAGTTGTGGGTTTACTTGTCCTGCGTTCATTTGCGCGGCCACCGCAGCGGACACAAACCATAAAGTTTATGCAGCATTAACGATCAGAAATCTGCTTAAAGTAAACCTATACACGGGTAAGCCGCGGCGACTGCGTTGCTGCCCACAGCCTTACTAAACAGAAACATGGCAAGGCCGTGGAGGCCACGTCGCTCTAGTTATGCCAACGTATTACTTTAGTGTATCAGAGAATGACTTTGGTAATCAGCAGGCCAGACCAGGGAAACGGCGCATGGGCAAAAAAAGGCGCGAAGCGAGAGACTCGGCTACGTAATAGAATTCCACCAACAACAGAGACTGAGAGAGCGACCAATGTCCAAGCGTTGGGTGATGTGTAACGTGTCCTCATAATGAGCAGATCTGGGAAACGTTTCTACCGGACTAGTGGTTATGTTGCGATATGTTAACTAGAAAGTTGTGCCACCCACTACCACTGAGTTTAAAAAAAATACACAAATAAAACTCTTCAGCTCGCCGAAAATGCCGCCCTCAATATAATTTTTTTTAAAAGTGGCACCTGTGTCGACCACCCCCTCCACAGCCCTCTTCCTATGCAAGTGGATTGACTTTTTCCTCGACAATTGTGAGTCATAGTAGGCAAATAAGCTATTTAAATGGTCTATGGTTTGTCAGCTCTAGCTTGATAGATGGCACTTAATTATTTAGTAGATGCCACCTAAGTTGACTCTGGTTTGTGGTGAGTAAAATGAGAGGCAGTGTTAGTGATTTTATGTATCTTGATGGAACCAAGTTGCTTTGTTAGTCATCTGTTTGCAATGGTGTTTATTTCGCTACTGACATATATTTCATTACTTTCCCGCTTTTTGCCTCTTAGTCTTAGTAAATCACCAGCTATTTATTGAGAAAGAAATCGAAACTGTCACAAATAATCAAATTTTAAGAAAGGAAATTGACAATTTTATTTAAAGTTTTAACAAATATTTCCTACATAACCCCCACCCTCAAAATTCTAGCCGCGTTAAGTACGTAATGGATGCACAACCGTGCAAAGGAAAGGCAGCGCCCTGGGCGAATGCGCCCCCTGATATTGAGGTCCCTTGCGAGTACCACTTTTACATTGCTGTGCATGGATCCAGTGGGCCAGAAAGAAATTAAATATCAGACAAAGTAGACAGATCTATACAATTTTTAAAAGATTTTTTAAATCTAAATATATCCAATTGGGCAACTTTTATAACGTATCTTTGAAGACAGAAGAGTTCTCCTTGTTTTCCCCACAATGGCGCCGTAAATGACAAGAGATTCATGAACTGTAGGCTACTTTTTTTTTTATGTTGTTCAATTTTATTAAATGGTTATTGTACATGAACAAAAAGACGGTAATGATTGTCATATTGTTGCTTTGTGCGTCACAATGAACTACCTAGATGCGTCAACAGTAATATTTAGTCTAGTTGCCCTCGCAATTACTTCACTCGACCATCCCCTTTTACTTTTGCTGCTACC